GATATTATTCTATATACTATTAAAAATATGCTGCCAATTAACCTTAGACTTTCTCAACAAAATAAAAAATGTTGATGAGGTACAAATAACATATTTAAACTTAAATAATGTTGCAAGTTGGCCGGGCGCGGTGGCTCAAGCCTGTAATCCCAGCACTTTGGAAGGCCGAGACAGGCGGATCACGAGGTCAGGAGATCGAGACCATCCTGGCTAACACGGTGAAACCCCATCTCTACTAAAAAATACAAAAAAAAACTAGCCGGGCGAGGTGGCAGGTGCCTGTAGTCCCAGCTACTCGGGAGGCTGAGGCAGGAGAATGGCGTAAACCCGGAAGGCAAAACTTGCAGTGAGCTGAGATCCGGCCACTGCACTTCAGCCCAGGCGACAGAGCGAGACTCCATCTCAAAATAATAATAATAATAATAATAATAATGTTGCAAGTTTTAATATGCCTACTTTTCAATTTTTCAATATTTTTACTAATTTAACACTGTAAGAAAAATGAGCAATGAAAACATGAATAAAAGTGTTTACAGAGGGTGCACATGTTTCCTCCAGCCTCTGCCCATCTCCAGCTTTTATCCCAACTGTCCTGATAGTGGCTCTAAGCATTTCTCCTTTCTCTATACCAAGATCTCCCTGCTGAAGCACAACCAAATCTTATAATGTGTTATGACACGCTGTGATGATGAGCAACCAAAGCCTCGAGGAAGGGATGCTTTTGTAAAACAAGACTTGCAGAATATAACGTGTGAAGTAAAGCCCATGGCAGATCTCCCTTTAGCACCCGGGTAACAGACAGGAAGCTTTTGCCTCACCTTCCTCACTAGCCCGCAGCCACATCTCCCCAGGTCAGTCTTGAGGACAACAAAACTCTGGTCTTCACTGTGAACACACTAACAGGTGCTCCAAAGCCATGGCCTCTTCTTGGGTGGGTCCTGAGGAGAACAAAGCTCTGGTTCTAATCCTAACCCCAATCCTGTCTCTAGACTTTAACCCTGACCCTAAACCCTGATCCCTACCCTGGTCCCTAATTCTGACCCTGACTTTGACCCTGACTCTGATCTTGACCCTGACCATGACCCCACCTCTAACCATACTTCCGGCCCTAACTCTGACCCAGACCCTACTCCTAACCCTAACCGTACTATTATCTTTACGATCTATCTCTAATCTTACCCCCTACTGCTAAATAGATGTACCCAAAAGCACTTATTAAATTATTTAACTTTTTTCCCTTGAATTCTCTAATGACATCCTAAAGGAGATGTCTTTATATATTTTGCAGTCCCTCTGAGTGGTATGGCTTCAGATAGGAAGTTCTAATACTTTGCAAGACATAGAAAGTTTGGAGAGTAACAGCACGGGGTTGTTAGGGATGCATGTTGGCATTCACGATAGTCATTGGTGCTGCTGTCCAAATATTTTCAGTTCAGTTTTTATGAATGCACTCTGACTATTCTAACCCACCTACTAAAATTTTTGCATGAGCACATAGCTTTTTTTTTTCCTCTCTCTTTTTTTTTGCATATGGAGGTGAGAAGAAATAACATGTGATTTTTTCAGGAGAAATCTCTAAGCACAGAGTTCTGTTCAGCATGTTTTTTTCTCTTTTCTATAGCAATAATTTTAGCAATATTAATAGCTTCAAAAAGTAACTTAGCTATTAGGTTTTTAAAAATGTCTTTTGTCTTCCAGTTTGTAAGCCACACTGATCAGGACTACAGAGTTGAATTATTAGAAGTGATAAAGGAAAGATAATGCTTATCTTTTAAAAACATGAATTACCTGTTTAATGAGCACAAACAAGTTTTGTTCTATTCATCAGGTAATAAAGAAAACTTTACACAAAAGGTGAGGGTCAGGGAATGCAGACAACACACAACTGACTTCATGGCAGGAAGATTCTTAGTGCTAATTCAATGTTACCACTTATTAGCTGCAAAATATAATTGTATTTGAAATTTTGATCATAGACACTAACCATCATTATGGACAAAGGATGGCCACTGACCAATGAGAAAAGATGGTGGTCATAACAACCAGCAGTACCCCTGGCACATCCGCCAGTGTGCAGTGACTGTCAGGTCTGACTGATCTGGATGTCTTAACAGCTTCATCTGTGAGTGACAGGATTGCCTTGTGTCAATGGCTCTCAAACCTGGGTGCTTGCTTGAATCTCTTAAATAACTTTCAAAAACATGTTCATCACTAATTCACAATTATACTGTTTAGGAATTATGAATCTGGATGCTCCTGTATTGGGTGCATATATATTTAGGAGAGTTAGCTCTTCTTATTGAATTGATCCTTTTACCATATGTAATGGCCTTGTCTCTTTTGATCTTTGTTGGTTTAAAGTTTGTTTTATCAGAGACTAGGATTGCAACCCCTTTTTTTTGTTTTTCTTTTGCTTGATAAATCTTCCTCCATCCCTTTATTCTGAGCCTATGTGTGTCTCTGCACATAAGATGGGTCTCCTGAATGGAGCATACTGATGGGTCTTGACACTTTATCCAATTTGCCAGTCTGTGTCTTTTAATTGGAGCATTAAACCCATTTACATTGAAGGTTAATATTGTTATGTGTGAATTTGATGCTGTCATTATGATGTTAGCTGGTTATTTTGCTCATTAGTTGATGCAATTTCTTCCTAGCATTGACAGTCTTTACATTTTGGCATGTTTTTACAGGGGGTGGTACCAGTTGTTCCTTTCCATGTTTAGTGCTTCCTTCAGGAGCTCTTGTAGGGCAGGCCTGGTGGTGACAAAATCTCTCAGCATTTGTTTGTCTATAAAGGATTTTATTTCTCCTTCACTTAAAACTTAGCTTGGCTGGATATGAAATTCTGGGTTGAAAATTCTTTTCTTTAAGAATGTTGGCCGGGCGCGGTGGCTCAAGCCTGTAATCCCAGCACTTTGGGAGGCCGAGACGGGTGGATCACCAGGTCAGGAGTTTGAGACCAGCCTGGTTAACACGGTGAAACCCCGTCTCTACTAAAAAATACAAAAAACTAGCCGGGCGAGGTGGCAGGCGCCTGTAGTCCCAGCTACTCAGGAGGCTGAGGCAGGAGAATGGCGTGAACCCGGGAGGCGGAGCTTGCAGTGAGCTGAGATCCGGCCATTACACTCCAGCCTGGGTGACAGAGCGAGACTCCGTCTCAAAAAAAAAAAAAAGAATGTTAAATATTGGCCCCCACTCTCTTCTGGCTTGTAGAGTTTCTGCTGAGAGATCCGCTGTTAGTCTGATGGGCTTCCCTTTGTGGGTAACCCGACCTTGCTCTCTGGCTGCCCTTAACATTTTTTCCTTCATTTCAACTCTGGTGAATCTGACAATTATGTGTCTTGGAGTTGCTCTTCTTGAGGAGTATCTTTGTGGCGTTCTCTGTATTTCCTGAATTTGAATGTTGGCCTGCCTTGCTAGGTTGGGGAGGTTCTCCTGGATAATATCCTGCAGAGTGCTTTCCAACTTGGTTCCATTCTCCCCGTCACTTTCAGGTATACCAATCAGACATAGATTTGGTCTTTTCATATACTCCCCTATTTCTTGGAGGCTTTATTCATTTCTTTTTACTCTTTTTCCTCTAAACTTCTCTTCTCACTTCATTTCATTCATTTGATCTTCAATCACTGATACCCTTTCTTCCAGTTGATCGAATCGGTTACTGAAGTTTGTGCATTTGTCACGTAGTTCTCATGCCATGGTTTTCAGCTCTATCAGGTCATTTAAGGACTTCTCTACATTGGTTATTCTAGTTAACCATTCGTTTAATCTTTTTTCAAGGTTTTAAGCTTCTTTGCAATGGGTTCGAACTTCCTCCTTTAGCTCGGAGAAGTTTGATCATCTGAAGCCTTCTTCTCTCAACTCATCAAAGTCATTCTCCATCTAGCTTTGTTCCATTGCTGGTGAGGAGCTGCAATCCTTTGGAGGGGGAGAGGTGCTCTGATTTTTAGAATTTTCAGCTTTTCTGCTCTGTTTTTCCCCCATCTTGGCGGTTTTATCTACCTTTGGTCTTTGATGATGGTGATGTACAGATGGGGCTTTGGTGTGGATGTCCTTTCTGTTTGTTAGTTTTCCTTCTAACAGGACCCTCAGCTGCAGGTCTGTTGGAGTTTGCTGGAGGTCCACTCCAGACCCTGTTTGCCTGGGTATCAGCCACGGAGGCTGCAGAATGGTGAATATTGCTGAACAGCAAATGTTGCTACCTGATCGCTCCTCTGGATGCTTCATCTCAGGGGGGCACCTGGCTGTGTGAGGAGTCAGTCAGCCCCTACTGGGGGATGCCTCCCAGTGAGGCTACTCGGGGGTCAAGGACCCACTTGAGGAAGCAGTCTGTCCGTTCTCAGATTTCAAACTCCGTGCTGGGAGAACCACTACTCTCTTCAAAGCTGTCAGACAGGGACATTTAAATCTGCAGAGCTTTCTGTAGACTTTTGTTTGGCTATACCCTATCCCCAGAGGTGGAGTCTACAGAGGCAGACAGGCCTCCTTGAGCTGCAGTGGGCTCCACCCAGTTCGAGCTCCCCGGTCGCTTTGTTTACCTACTCAAGCCTCAGCAATGGTGGGCACTGTTCCCCCAGCCTCACTGCCATCTTGCAGTTAGATCTCAGACTGCTGTGCTATCAATGAGCGAAGCTCTGTGGGCATGGAACCCTCCAAGATAGGTGCGGGATATAATCTCCTAGTGTGCAGCTTGTTAAAACCCTTGGAAAAGCACAGTATTAGGGTGGGAGTGACCCGAATTTCCAGGTGTTGTGTGTCAGGGTTTCCCTTGGCTAGAAAAGGGAATTCCCTTACCCCTTGCACTTCCTGGGTGAGGCAACACCTCACCCTGCTTTGGCTCTCGCTCAGTAGACTGCACCCACTGTCCAGCATCCACTATCCAATGCGCCCCAGTGAGATGAACCCAGTACCTCAGTTGGAAATGCAGAAATCACCCGTCTTCTGTGTCGCTCACGCTGGGAGTTGTAGCCTAGAGCTATTCCTATTCGGCCATCTTGGAACCGCCCAGCTTTAGCTTCTTTCCACGTAATGCTGCATCTGCATTTGAGACCAGAGGTATTAACATGGGTTAAATTGTGAAACTGTCTAGCATTAGATATGGCAGTAGCAACTAGGCGATCAGCCATTTGATTCCCTGCAGTCAAAGGTCCTAGAAGAGGTGTATGAGCCCTAATGTGAGTGATGTAAAAAGGGGGCATTCTACTCCTAACTGCTGTTTGCAATTGGATAAATAAAGTCATCAGTTGTTCATCTGTATGAAATTGTAACTGAGCATTTTCATTTAATTCTGTGGAATGAACCACATATGAAGAACAGAAACCACATTAATAGGCATATCAAAATCATTCAATACCTCAATTACAGCTAAAAGCTCTGCTTTTTGAGCTGAAGTATAGGGCGTCTGAAAATCTTTACATTTTGAGCCAGAATAAGAAGCTTTAACATTACTAGACCCATCTGTAAAAACATTCTCACACCTTCAATTGGTTTAAATTTAGTTATTTTAGTGAGAATCCAATTCGTTAATTTCAAAAATCGAAACAGTTTTGTTTTAGGAAAATGATTATCGAAAATTGTTTAGTAACCAAGTCCTCTAAAGCCTGCAGTTTCTCTTTACTCAGCAGCCATTGTTCTAGCCAATTTGGATAGATAGCATTTTAAAGGTATAGGTTCTGGAGGCTTAATGATGGGCACCATCAAAAATGATATCCTAAACCTTGACGGGAACTTTGTCTTTCCACTTAAGCAGTTCTTTCAAACCTTGCAAATTTTTTCCTAGTCCCATACCAGGGACATACCCTATTTAATGCATCATATGTTGACTTTGGGGGCTATATAATTGTTCTGGAATTAGAACTTGTGCTCCCTATTGTTGTAATAAATCTCTCCCCCATAAATTTATAGGTATAGAAGTTATAACCAGCTGAATAGTCCCAAGTTGTACATCAGACCCTTCACAATGCAAAACGTAACTACTTCGATATACTTCAGGGGATTTACTGACTCCAACTATGTTAAATTAAACTATGTTAAATTGAATTGGCCATGCGGATCACCAATGTTACAGAGAAATGACTGAAGTGTCTGCTCCTGTATCTACCACATCTTTAAATTTCTTTCCCTGAATAGTTATTTCACAGGTAAGACATTTAACAGTAATTTGATTCACCCAATAAGCTGCTGTGCCTTGTTTATTTGTGCTTCCAAATCTTCCTGTTCATTTAATTTCACTTTTCCCCAATTCCACATATGGCATAATCAGGAGCTGTGCTATACGCTCTCCTGGCTCTGTTTCCAGGGAACAGACGTAGATATAACAGTTCGAATTTCCCCACTGTAACCTAAATCAATGACTCCTGTATGTATTTGTACTCCTTTTAAATTTAAACTAGACCTTCCTAGAAGTAATCCTATCATCCCCAGTCGCAAGGGTCCACAGAACCCTATTGGAACTTTTTGCGGGAGTTCCCCATGCACAAGGCTCAGAGCTTTTGTGCAGCATAAATCTACTGCGGCACTACCGGCTGTGGTGGGGGACAGACATTGTACAGCGATGAGGGAATGGTCTGAGCTGGAAATGCCCTTGTTTGGAATGGGGCCTGGGACGGTCTCCTCATAGCATCTCCCAAAATCGGGTTCCTATCTTGTGACACTGATTAGCCCAATGTTTTCCTTTTTCACAATCTGGACATATTTCAGTATCGGCAGTTTTCTTTCTTCCCCTATCTGGTGGGCTGATTTTTTTCTACATTCTGTTTTAGTATGACCATGCTTCCCACAGTTAATATAAGCTCCAGGAAAAAGAATATTTCCTTTATCCACTCTCAGTCCTGCCATTGTCTGTGCCAACAAAGTAGTTTTAAGCAGATTACCTCTCATACCATCAAAGGCCTTGATATAATCATCAACTAAATGTGCTTTCCCTCTAAAAGGTCGCAGAGCAGCCTGGCACTCGGGATTAGCATTGTTGAAAGCTAATAAACACAACACTATATACCCTGAGCAGCCAAATCTGCAATCACCCTAGCCCCTAGCCCTAGTCCTCGCCCCTAGCCCTAGTCCTCGCCCCTAGCCCTAACCTTAACCCTAGCCCTAACCCTAACCCTAACCCTAGCCCTAACCCTAACCCTAACCCTAACCATTTTTTGGGCTACTTGCTTCATTTTTATAAGACTTTTGCTGGTTTTATTTTTAAGTTTAAAAAAGTTCTTTCTTTTAAAAAAAAGAGAAATCCTTAATTCTCAAAGACTTTTCAAAATAGAACTCTCAAATAGTAATTGATAGTACTTTACATGTTTTCGTGATAAAAAAAATTCTAAAAGAAAAAAAACAGTTTCATCCTGCTTTCATATTATAACCAGAATCGTTGAAATAATATGCTTCAATTGATAGTAAAGTAGCATTTACCTTTTTGGATCAATGAAGCTAAGCCAGCACTAAGAATTCTGTTACTATTCCTCCACTACGTTTCAGAGTTATTTCTTCATCCCTATATATACCGCAATAATGACTCGGCTAGGTCCATTTCGATTATCAACTCAACCCTAAAAGAAAGATGATTTCCATTGGTTACACATTTTAGAAAATTGTTGTTATCTTGGAACATCTGCAGTCTAATCTCAATAAATTTCAAACAAGGGCACTGAGACCCCAGCTAATAGAACTATCTAATTCAGTATTATTAAGATCCCAAAGATCAATGCCAAAGCATTGGCTATTTTCTGCATTTTGTCCAATAATTAAAATTTGGCCAGGATTGTTGTTCATAGCAGGAGCCATGAATGGTTTTGCAGCGTTTTGTGACATCTTAAGGGCTACGGTGGACCTTGTCCTTATATCATGATCTGCTAAGCAATTCACCAACCATACTTCTCCACCTCAGTCCTGATTTTAGCCTCCTTAGGAGAACATTGAAAACATGATTGGTAATAATGTGTGTTGACTTCCTTAAAGATGTTACAGGAAAGATTATGCTTAAGAGTAGTTAGAGGGAAATGTCTTTTTGAGTTTGTTTCCTAAGCCCCAAGCCATTCAGCTGACCTTATTATGTCCCTTTACCTTACAGTATAAAAGTCGAAATGTGTATAATGGGAGACAAGAGATATGGGAGGAGAAGAAGGGACTAATATTAATTGAGCCTTTTTAGTAGGGACCCGCCTTTTACTAGAGTCTGAGCACTCCTCTCCTCATACATTGTCTCATTAAACCAACTCTCCAAAGTATTATCTGTCCTGTTTTATGGAAAGAACATCTCAAAAATGTTGCATTGCCAGTAAGTGGTGGAGCTGGAATTTATCTGCCCCCAAAGTACTTTCAGAAGGACACAGCAGTATACTGAGGTTAAAAAAAATTACTATTCCCAAACTGAGATCCTTCTGTGAGCTTTGTAACTCTTGTTTACCCTGGCAGTTAGTTGCAATACTATCAAGTTGGCCATCAAGAACATTCTGGTCTGTTTAAGCTATAGTGGGAAAGCCAAGATATAAAAACATCACCCATGGGAATTTTGAGACTAGAGTAGTTAGAAGCTAATTTAAGATCTCCATCCAACTCTAAGATAGTCAGGGTAACTGCCAGAAGACCCTCATGATCCCAAAGCCGGATTTTGCCCTAGTATAATGGGTTCATATTTGATTGGCTGCACTTAGCTATAAATCCTGAGAAGAAGAAGAAGAAAGACATCAGAAAATAATTGGGCTAGAAAAACCTTAGTTTGAAAGCAAAACACAGAATCCAGGTAAGTGGGCTTACTGGGAAAGGCTTATGCCACGTTGCTCCCACAATGGAGGGCCTTATGATGGCGATGGTTAGGCTCCTGCTCTCCTGCTGCACCATCATTTCTCCCAAGGCCTTGGTGTAGGCGTAAGTATTGGGCCAATCTCCGATCTGCTTGGGTGTGATCTCGTCAGTAACAGCATTGTCTGTACATAAAAGGTAGAGTAAAAAGAATTCTAGCAACATGTGTTAGACAATAGACCAAAAGGAAAATGTGAGACACAGTCAAACAAAACTTCCACCCTTTAGCCATGGTTCTCGAATTCAGAACAGTCACATGATACCAAGTTTGAGTGCATACCTGCTCAAAGTATGCATGAGCTCTTTTCACTGCTAAGCCCAATCTTATCAGTCAAATCCTGTGTCCTCCCATCCAGACAGGTAGGTAGGTAGACGGATAGATTCAATAGCAATGCCACTTTATTACTACTACTAGTGTAGGGCTATTAGTACTACTTTATTAGTACTACTTTAGCGCTTTTACTTTACCAGTACTGATTATTCTGTAGTAGTACTAATTTGAGGTAATTACATACAACCTCTTTACTTCCTCTCCAACAAGCTCATAAGTACATTCATTGCACACATTTTTGAGTCCCAGTCATTCTCCCAGTAGTGTGCTGGATGCTGTGTTCAGGGAGCTTGAGGCTCTCATCCAAGGTGTTTCAGCGGCAGCCCTGTTCAGTGTTATCCCACAGAAACCCAGTGCAGTGATCCTGAAGACTTTAGCTTTACATTTTAAAAATTTCATTCAAGGCAAATCAAATCAAAGTGACTACTTTTGGCAGACTGACAATCTGTTTTGCCAATACTATGTAATGCATTTTGAAGGTCTGTTTACAGCCTATGATAATAACTTGCTAATTATTTCCAGAGGTTTTCAACAAATTCTGAAGTCTGTCAAGTGGGGTGATTATAGCACTCTGGAACAACTTCAAAATCATGAATATTGAATACTCCTACTTACAAGATGACATGTATCATGAATAACTTGAGTTACCATAGCATCAGCCTAATCTTTCTTAAAAATATGTCAGAACCAGCTGGGCACAGTGGCTCACACCTGTAATCCCAGCACTTTGGGAGGCCGCGGCGGGCAGATCACGAGGTCAGAAGATTGAGACCATTCTAGCCAACATGGTTAAACCCCGTCTCTATTAAAAATACAAAAATTAGCTGGGCATGGTGGTGTGTGCCCGTAATCCCAGCTATTCAGGAGGCTGAGGCAGGAGAATCACTTGAACCAGGGAACAGAGGTTGCAGTGAGCTGAGATTGTGCCACTGCACTCCAGCCTGGTGACAGAGCAAGACTCCATCTCAAAAAAAAAAAACGTCAGAACCATTTCATTGATAATCCCAAAATCTATCTACAGCTCTCTGAGAGCGCAAAACAACTATTGTCAATTAAATATGTAACATTTATCCTAGCTCAGATCTATGTGGTTAAATTATTAATATAACATAGCTTTTTAAAAATTAAGCTGTTGGAATATGCTAGTGTGCTTTTTCTGATCAATGTGGTACATTTCTATTTTATACAACAGAACATAACTATACTATTTCGACTCTACAAAATCTTCAGTGTTACCACCTTGCTGACATGACAAATTTTTGAACAACTAAGATGTTCATGAGGTTAAGACTTATTCAGAATCAACTCTCAATATTAATCCTCATTTGATCCTGGGGGAGAACCTGGGCATTGACCGTTATGTTTCCATTTTTCTTGCTTTGCTTCTGAGTGCTGAGTGTGTTCTGGATACTCCAATGCCTTTTCATTTAAATTGGAGAGAGGAAGATTGAGAGGTTCTAGAATTAAAAACAACTTAAACTACACAGAAATATCAAGGATATTTTAATTATATGGTCACCTAGTGGCTGGGAAAGAGTGTAGGATGCTGCAGACACCTCTCCATCTTCACAATAATCCTACCTCAATCCATTTCTGGGTCAACAGTGGATTGACTGACCTAAGACTGTTTTCCCTCAACTGCAAAAATAGAGTTTATAAAAACCAGGTCTTGAGGGAATACAGCTTCATTTCAATACAGCTTTAAAGAAAAAATTTCTAGAAAACATCAGAGCCCAACAATGTGCTGGGATTGTATGTCACATGGCTAGTATCAGTTGCTGTCATTAATGTTGGGGTACATGGAAAGGATAATACTTGCAGGGACGAGAGCCTCATAAAGCTTAGTGAGTTGGCTTGTATTAGCAAATGTTGGATTTTGTTGTTGTTGTTCTTGTTGTTTGTTGTTGTTGTTGTTGCTGTTTTGAAACGAAGCCTCAGTCTTGTCGCCCAGGCTGGAGCACAGTGGTAAAATCTCGTCTCACTGCGATCTCCACTTCCCATGTTCAAGCAATTCTCCTGCCTCAGCCTCCTGAGTAGCTGGGATTACAGGCGCCCACCAGCACACCCAGCTAATTTTTGTACTTTTAGTAGAGACGGGGTTTCACCATGTTGGCCAGGCTAGTCTCGAACTCCTGACCTTAGGTAAGCTGCCCACCTTGGCCTCCCAAAGTGCTGGGATTACAGGCACGAAAAAATTTTGGTTTTATAGATTTCCAACAACACACATGGAAGAAATTTTAATATTCTATAGATGGCTTACCTCTGCTACTCTTAGCTACACCTGTATTCCACTGTTTTATCTTTTCATTCTAATTCTACTTGTGAAAATGGCAATAATTATATTCATTGTAAATTCTCAGGCTATTATGAGGGTAAACAGAAATATTCACAACTGCATTTAAACTCTTTGATAAAACAAAATGAGCCAATAAACCTAAGGCATTCCTATTTTTAAATAAAACAACCGGAGAGCATGATATATCTGCATAGGTAATAGCTGGCTTTAAAATGTCATTTCTGGCCACATGTAGTAGCTCAAACCTGTAATCCCAGCAGTTTGAGAGGCCAAGGAAGGAGGATCGCTTGAGTCCAAGAGTTTGAGACCTGCCTGGGAAGCATAATACCCAGTCTCTACAAAAAAAGTTTTAAAAATTAGCTGGGCATGGTGGTATGCACCTGTAGTCCCAGTTACTCAGGAGGCTGAGGCAGGAGGATTGCTTAAGCCTGGGAGTTGAAGGCTGCAGGGAGCCATAATTATGTCACCATACTCCAGCCCGGGTGACAAGAGTGAGACCGTCTCAAAATGAATGAGTGAATGAATGAATGAATGAATGAAACAAATAAAAATAAATTATCATTTGTAATACAGCCAAAGAGATCATCTGCTAGGCTCATTCAGCCACTTCCGAGGTTCAGACAGGAGATTAGTGTAAACATGCACATGCACTGGTTGGACAATGCCCTTCTCAGGACTTTCACTCAATTCAGGGTTGCTGCTGTTATTCTCAATTTATTTTAAAAACAGTAAATAAATTTGCAGGGATAAAAAACACTATGTAAACCAAAATACACGTCTGAAATTAATCTAAATGTTCTTCAGTACACTCAGGAAGATACTATGACCCATGGGTCTCAAATTCTAAACTTGAATTGCTTCAGAAGAAGCATAAAGTCATTGAAAATTTCAGAAAGCAATATCTGTATATCTACATGTGTACACACATAGACACATACACAGTTTCTTCTAAAGATGACTCTCAATTTTGGTTCAAACTTATTGAATAAACATGATATCATTAATAGTTACATTATTTATGCATTTACGGATTGAAATACTAACAAGCATACGTATTTCCCCTCCCCCACGTTCCAATTTTCTTACGCAACAAGTTGGCAAGCCTAGACGTTAATCAGGAAATCTGTTAGAGAGTAAATACTGGACACACTGTCTTATAATAACATTAGCTCTTTCTCCAGTCGGGATTATGTAATTCACTTGACTCTTGTAGTTATCAAGTTGCATTTGCTTATGTGTCTGTCTCCCCATTGGACAGTGAGTCCAGGAGAGTAGGGATTATGATTTTTATCTGTGTCTAATCACTTTTCTGCCCCCAGGAGCCAGCTGCCTTATTCAGTAAATGGATGCTCTTTGACATGGTAATCTTGATTGGTCAATTTCTGTACTATATAAGGTTTTGGGAAGCAGAGATGGACAATGATGAGAGAGAGTGGATGAACTCAAAAGAAGAGGTTGTAGGGAGAATGCGGGAAAGGAAGGAAGGGGTGTAACTTTGTAGAGCAGGTAGCAAAATTGGAAGTCGAAGTGTCCAGTGGCAGTGGTGATAAGTGTTGACCAACCTCAGTTTGATGAAGGTGGCGTGAAAGTCAATTTAAACTTTTCACTGGGAAGTAAGGTATTTCTGAGTCTAATGCTTATGAAGAATTGGCCTCTGTATTTCCCTCCAGACTTTTATGAAGCACCCAGCCTGGCCCAAACATAAGCCAGATGCTGAATGGCCTGCCAATGGCCTGCCTATGTGAAAATTATTCAGTTTAAGAAAAAATTTAATCACATTCTGGTTTGTATATGAAGCCTGCTAACATCAAAGTACGCAGAATTTTCATTTTTATGTCAGCTACTTAGCTGTCATTTTGAAGCTGTGCAATGATTAAATTAAATTAAATCACAGGCCGGGCACAATGGCTCACGCCTGTAATCCCAACACTTTGGCCGAGGTCAGGAGATGGAGACCAGCCTGGCCAACATGGCGAAATCCCATCTCTACTAAAAATAAAAAATTAGTCATGCATGGTGGTGGGCACCTGTAATCCCAGCTGAGGCAGGAGAATTGCTTGAACCCAGGAGGCAGAGGTTGCAGTGAGCCGAGATCATGCATTGCACTCCAGCCTGGGCAACAAGAGTAAGACTCAATCTCAAACAACCAACCAAAGAGCACAAGTGCTAGCATCAGCTTTCAACATTCCCCTGGAAGAGATCAGCTTTTTTTGGTGTTAACAACGTGTTCTATAGCACGAAGGCAAGACTACTGTCCACCGTCTGACCTCCTTTCATATCTCCCAGAGGGCTGTGATGAGGGCCACTGCTGCTGGCTGTGGGGGTCTCCATTCCCCTGCCTCTCACTCCTGCACCATCAGGGCACATGGACCTTTCCTTTTTTACATGGCAGACTAGCTGTGGCTTCTGCTGGCCATGTCGCTTCAGAAGTGTGGTTTTTAGTAGGTAAGATATACTAGGATCTGTCATTCAATTAAAGCTTGTAGGAAATGAAAGACAGCAGGCGATAAAGACAGCACCACAAAGAGGAATCATGGGTATTAGAAGATAAATGATCTTCACTTCAAATGAAGACTGCTCAGTGAAAAATCTCCTTAAGGCACTATTTCCCAAACTTGCCTGTTCATGAGTGTGAATTACACAGCGACCCTGGGAAAAATCCAGGTCCCTTGGTGCCATTTTAGAACCACTAAATACATCTGCAGAGATAAGAGTCTGGATAATCTGTGTTTTCAACATGCCCTGGAAATTCCAACAGTCAGGCAAATTAGGGAATCACTAATTAAAAAGAAGTTCGCTCCATCAACTTAAGTCATTAAGATTTGAACATATCAGGATTAGCTCTCAAAAACACATGGCTTCTTGGAGTAAACATTTCAACAGAATTGAATTTTAAAATTATTAAATCGCCTAATGCTATCCCTCCCCTAGCGCCCCACCCACTGAAAGGTTAGTGTGTGATGTTCCCCTCCCTGTGTCCATTTGTTCTCATTGTTCAACTCCCACTTATGAGTGAGAACATGTGGTGTTTGGTTTTCTGTTCCTGTGTTAGTTTGCTGAGAATGATGGTTTCCAGCTTCATCCATGTCCCTGCAAAGGACATGAACTCATGCTTTTGTATGGCTGCAGAGTATTCCATGGTGTATATGTGCCACATTTTCTTTATCCACTTTATCACTGATGGGCATTTGGGTTGGTTCCCAGTCTTTGCTATTGTGAATAGTGCTGCAGTAAACATATGTGTACATGTGTCTTTTAGTAGAATGATTTATAATCCTTTGGGTATATACCCAGTAATGGGATTGCTGGGTCAAATTGTATTTCTGGTTCTAGATCCTTGAGGAATCGCCACACTGTCTTCCACAATGGTTGAACTCATTCACACTCCCACCAACAGCATGAAAGCGTTCCTATTTCTCCACATCCTAATGTAGCACTGAATGTCGATGACAGGTTGATGGGTGCAGCAAACTACCCTGTTCTGTGTATACCTATGTAACAAACCTGCACATTCTCCACGTGTCCCAGAACTTAAAAGTATAATAATAATAAAAAAGATTGAGAATTTAAAATGCTAATACAAAATTAGGCTTTAGTTATTTGCAGAATACATTGTATTTTCAACGTGAAAAACAAAGGGTTATTGTATTATCAATGAAGTTATATAGTTTCTCATATAAAAGAAAAATAATTAAATTCCTTTAGGACTATTTAAATATGTATCTGTCAATTTTAACATGAAAATTCTCTTACATTTATACATCCCACATTCTAATAAGGACTAACTGACATGAATTATGAGCAGTAAAGAAATATGTGTATGCTTGTCTTTATACTTGTAGGTATACATCTGTTCCCGTAAAAATATCTCTTTTAGAGTCAGAAAATCTGTTTGGTCCCAGTTCTCACTAAAGATACTTAATGAACTCAATAAACTTTACTTTACTCTTAATGAAGTAAGAATGAGAACACAGGTGCCAGCAATGAGCTGGGGTTCTTCTGGCACAGGCTTCAGAGATCCTACCTTTAACATCCTCCTTTCATTCATTTGAGCCTGATAAGAGAGGAGTCTCTTGGGAGAGAAGCAAGTATACAACTTGGGGTCAGACAGTCCATTGTCAAAGTTGAACTCCACCACTGTTCAGCTGTGTGACTTTGGCCAAGTGACTTTCCCTCTCTGATCCTCATGATCATTTTTGGTAAAAACAGCACAATGACAGGTCTATGAAGATTGGAGGAGCCAAAATAAAAATGTGTATCTTAGTTTGAGTTTCCTGGAAGTAGATCCTGAGGCAAAGATTCAAGTATAAAAATTTTATCTGGAGGTGACTCTAGGACAGCAATTATACTGCCAGTTCTTCCGGTACTAATTGCAGGAAACACCAGTACAGGAGTGGGGAACTGAGACAGGAATGGAATGCAGCAGTTAAAGGGACCTTCATCAAGAATGTTTCCACCGTGGGCAGTCAGGACTCAGCCCTGCCGGGTACCTCTGAGACACAGCATAGAACATGTGTCTCAGAGTCATCCCACCCGGAGCAAGGGAGTTCGGGTATTTATCCACTCATACCTACCAGTCACTTCTCAGGGCTTCTTCCAAGGGCATGATTCCTCCAGAATACCCTGCCTGCACTGCAAGAATGAGACCTGGAGGGTCAGTGGCAAGGGCCCTGACAGCACCTCCAGCAATGAGCAGGACTACAGCCTGGTGTGGAGAATTTCAGTCCCTCAGTGACCCCAACACACACACACACAAACACACACACACACACTCTTTCTCTCTCTCTTGCTCTCTCCCTCTCTCTCTCACGCACACACACATTCTTTCTCACACACACACATTCTTTCTCTCTCTCTCTCACACACACACACACACACCACACTCCAACACCAGCACAGGGAATATGTACATACACATACATGCATACATGACTGTTACTCACTTAGATCCTGGTGAATCCATGGGATAGAAGATAAGGTGGGAATCAGACGGAAGAGCAAAATTAAGGGGAGTGAAGGTCTTGGGAACAAAATGCAAATGCAGTCAGAAAATCAAGAGGGAAGAGGAGTGGTCTGGACACCAAATGCCTGCTGGGTGGCACCTGCTCTACACACACTGTCAGTCATTCCCCAAGCAGCCTCGTGGGGTAGAAGGAATTCCCTTCAACTTACAGATGGCAGAGATGTAGTTCAGAAAAGAAAACTGACTTTACTAATTCATTTTACTGCTTCTGGGCTCTGCTCCTTTTCCTCCCGGGCAATCATGGCAGAACGGACAAAAACATGTTCCCCCTTCACCACCTGGACCAGAGCCAATGAGACGGACTGGGGAACAGGCCATGAGGCCCTGCACCCACCATTCAATGTCTTCAAGACTGTGATTCCCTCAGAACTGTTGCACCACGTGCTGGCAGCACTCCCGGTGTCTGGGTGTCTTGTGAAGTTGTACAGGATCCAGTAGAGGCCACTGGCTCTGCTGTCATACCCAGAGGCAGCCAGGCAGGCTTGTGACTCTTGGCTGCTTCAGCACCACAGGATGAACAGCGCCCATGCACTGAGGCTTTTGGGAGAATGGGAGGAGCGAAAGGAAGGGCAGAATGGAGTGATGTAGGGTCCATCCACATCATCCCTGAAAGGAAAGATCCTTGTTGCCACAGTAGTCCCACACAGGGACCACCACCGGCACTCGTGAATATGCCAGCCTCCATTTCTATGTCCCCGTCTGACAACTCCTTCCCATTTTCATCCTGGAGGCAAGACTCTGAACATACTAGCTCTGAGGGCCCCTGAGTGTAACCTGAGACAGTGCCTGAAGACCTTTCATCCAAGCAGGATCCCTCCCTTGCCATCTCCAGACCTGCCCCACAAGCTCCCTCCCTGGTCTCCTGGCTTTTGTTCACTCCTAAGCAGCCTTCTACAGTCATCTCTAAAACCAATCTGTCACTCCTTTATCCAGCACCTTCCATGGCTCTCCAGAGCCTTCCAGATCACGTGCAAGTTCTTTCACCAGATGCTTGATCCCAAGCTCCATTCTACCTCCTGAATTAAGGTCCCGGAGAAGCCCGCCCTGCTCAGCACAAGTGCATCAATGAAGTCCGAAGCCTTGAACGTGGACTTGGCCTTCAGGAAGTCATCAACACCATGGCTAGTGAGGGTGCAGTGCTGCTCCAGGATGATGGTGTCTGAAGTTGTGCACTAAGTCAGAGGCCCTACAGAAGCACTGCTCCTAAGGAATGAGATAGTATACGAAGTCCGTGCACAGGCAGATCTGCTGGTGTCATTACACTATGAGGGCACTGAGCTCCAAGATGGCGGCAACATATTCACTGGCATTCCTGCAGGGTGAGGCTGGAGAGAGGAAGCAGCTCCACAACACATATGAAACCCTGGAAGCCCTTCCCAGCCAAAATCTCTGGACCACACTACTTCCAGAAACGGGTGCCCTCTGAGCACACTTGTCTCTCTGTCTCCCACTCCGAGTTCCCTCCTGGCCCCACATGCCCCAGTCTGGACCAGGACTTTGAGCTCAGCAGGTGTTCAGTTCATGGTGTTGACTGCTCCCTGGGCCAGGAGAGCCCTTGGTGGCTCTGTGACTCCTCCTGTGGGACCACTGCCTCTGCCTCGGGACCTCCCGATTCCCATGCGAAGACCCCAAGGCTGTGGATTGCCCCACCTGCCCAGGGATCCTCCAACCCCATAGGCCTTACTTGATGCCTTAGCCCTCCCAAAACATGACATGCTTCTCAGAAGGTGACTTATTTCCAATGCCATCTGTGGATGTTTCCTGCGGACCTCTTGCTGTTCTGCTTTATAATCTGTAGGTCAGGGCCAAGAGGAGAAACTAGCCCAACCTCAGAATAAACAAAAGGCTCACTGCCACAAATGGCAACCGCCAAACAGTCAGCAGTGCTTCTGGAAGGAAGGAGGCTTCATTCTGCACAAAGCTCCTTGTTTGGCTTCTTTCTGAATCTGAGGAGGAGTAGGTACCAAGCCCAGCTTACATGTGGTGTCTGTGCCTAGGATGTACAATGGGCCCCTGTTCCCACTGCAGGGTTGACGTTCCCTCCAGCTGGAGACCTGGGCTCCTGACACCGCCTGGCCTGTTTGTCCTGCGCTGGATGAGCGTGGAAAGGCTGTACCTAGTATTTCCCTAGGTCCTTGGTTTCCACCATCTGGACATCCAGCAGGAGTGGCCATGCCCAGCCCCACACCTGAAAAGGAACTCCCTCATAGAGCAGCCGAGACATCTACGGACGGAAGAGTGCTCAGTGAGACAGGCCACAGGGGTCCCAGGGAGGATCGGGGGTGGAGGATGCTAGAGGTTTCCAGCCTTGGGCTCTGTGGTTCCTCAAAGAGGTTAGGTCTACCTAGTACCAGGCCTCCCCTCCCATGATTCAAAGAATGGATGAGTGTTCAACGTCAGGAACTCTGATCTGGACCTGGTTTTTCATTTACGTCACCAAGAGACAACCCCTAACCCCTGAGTTAGGGATGGTCCAAGCTCTGGGATGAAATTGTCCTCCAGCAATGTGATGCTTACAGGAACAGGTAGAAAAGCTGGTGACCAGGCCTGCTGTCCTCTGGGTAAGGACAGTGTGCCACCCACCCTCTGAGAGGCAGCTGGTGCCAGGCCACAGCACTGGGCGCCTGTACCCCTGGCTCTGCAGACACTGGTCATGGAGGTCCCTCCCTTTCCCCATTACCACCTTGCTGCTCCTAGATTTCTTCTAGTCAGTAAGCACTTTGAGTCATTTTTCTGTGCATCCGATTTTACACGTTTGCTCTCAGATGACACGCGATAAAGTATGCTGAGCCAACAGGATTCCTGGAGGGGACCTTGGATGCTGAGTCTTGGGCTCCAGGGCCCTGATGGCACTGAATCAGAAGGAGCCAGGGAAGGACAAACATTGGGGCTGAACCCCTATGACCCAATGGCCATTGGTTGCCTGGCCTTATAGTCCCAAGACACCCTGTCCTCAGGTCAGAGACACCATGGGCTTTGGTCAAGTCCCAGCCTCCCAGTAGTGTCTTGGCACTAGCAGATGCTGACCCCTGAGCCACAACCACAGTTCTGGGTTTGGGGTTTGGTAAAACCACCTCAAGGACAGAGTCCTGGGGTCAGATTTGGCAGGAACCATGGTGCCTCCCAGAGATGGTGTGCCACTCCCACTTGCCATGAAATGTGCACACAGGCTGTCCCCTTGTCCATCCCATCCTGCTGGACAGGATGGAAGAACTCAGGGAACAGGCAAGGTGGGCAGCTGGGGTGCAGGAAGAGGCAAGAACATGCTGGGAGGTCAGACCCTGTGAGGGCTGTGGAGGCATCAGGTGGAGTGGGCTCCAGGTGCACCTTCAGTGCACTGGGCATGTCACAGTCCAGGCTCCCTGGACCCTGGATGTGTGATGTGGTCACTCCCTGGGAGACTTCTGTCAGGTCCCGGCCACCCACCCTGGGCAGCACTGCCTCATCTCAGGACTGGCCTGAGTCCTAAGACAAGACAGTGCTGCCCAGGCCTGACAGACTGGGAGGACCTGTTAAGTCCTCCATCCCTAGACCAGCCTCCCAACAGCAGGACAGTCGCTTATCTTCACCTTCAGGGCACTGACTGGTCCATCTTACTCTAAGGCAACCAAGGCAGAGCTGAGGACCTGCACCAGGCTGGGAGCCAGTCCCCTCCCCAAATAGGCCTGAGGGAAGCCCATCCCTGACCCAACCTGCCACAAGTTTCAGCCCAGGAGACACACAGGGAAGGGAGGATGGGGCCTCCCTGCTGGCTGACACTGGAAAAATGAGATCTGGGAGAAGAGGGAGCACAAGGCTGGCAGGGGATGCTCCAGGCCCATGGAGAGCTCAGGCTGCACCATGGGGCTGCCCCTCCTAGGCTGGAGGCTGTGCTCTCCACAGGATCTGAGAAAGTCCAGTCCTGACAGTCCTGACATGGGACAGCACTGCCCAGGGTGGGTAGCCGGGGCCTGAGAGCAGTCCCCCAGGGAGTGACCATATCACCTGGCTGGGGTTCAGGGAGCCTGGGGTGAGACCCACCCAGTGCACTGAGGGTGCACCTGGAGCCCACCCCACCTGACCCCTCACAGCCCTCACAGGGTCTGACCTCCCAGCATGCACCTGCCTCTCCCTGCACCCCAGCTGCCCACACTGCCTGTTCCCTGGCTTCCGTCATCCTGTGCAGCCCATAGACTGTGACCATCTCTCCGGCCACTCTGGCCCTTTCTTTACCTTTGTCCTGTCAGAATCTCTGAGCAAGGTCTCCCAGGTCCATCCGCACACCTGCTTTGTCCACTTTTGACTGGGCTGTTGGGCACCACTGGACCATCCCAGCTGTCCACAGGGCCCTTGATAACACACAATACACCTGGCTTCTCCAAGCAGTGCTCAGCAGTCCCCACTGACCAGGTTCCTGCTAACTAGACTCCACACATCAGGTCTTCCCTGACCACACCCTCACTGATTAGACCCCCCATCACCAGGCCCCACTAACCATGCCCCTGCTACCAGGCACACAATGACCAGGACCCCACTGACCAGGACCTCACTGACAAGGCCTCACTGACCAGGACCTTACTGATAAGGCCTCACTGACAAGGCCTCACTGACTGGGTCCTTACTGACCAGGCCTCACTGACAAAGTCCTTACTGACAAAGCCTCACTGACCAGGTCCTCACTGACAAGTTCTCACTGACTAGGTCATTACTGACAAGGCCTCACTGACCAGGTCCT